TTTATTAAATCCCTCATTAATGAATCCCTAATTAAGGAATCCCTCATTAGTAAGTCTCTAATTAATAAATTCCTAATGAATGAGTCCATAGTTAATGAACCCCTCAATTAATGAGTCTCTCATTAATGAATCCCTCATTAGTAAATCGCTCATTAATAAATCTTTCATGAATGCCTCATTAATGAATCCCTCATTAAAAAAGTAATTAATTATTCCTTAAATTAATGAATCCCTCATTAATAAGTCTCTCATTAATAAATTCCTCAGTTAATGAGTCCCTCATTAATAAAACTCTCATTAATGAGTCTCTCATTAATAAAACTCTCATTAAGGAGACTTTCATTAATCCTTTATTAATGAATCCCTCATTAATAAATCTCTAATTCCTCATTTAATGAGTCCCTCATTAATAAGTCTCTACTTAATAAATCTCTCACTAATGAGTCTTTTATTAATCCTTCTAATAAATCCCTAATTAATGAGTCCCCATTAATGAATCTCTCATTAATGAGTCTCTAATTAATAAATTCCTCAGTTAATGAGTCCCTTATTAATAAGCCCTTCATTAATAAATCTCTAATTAATAAATCTCTAATTAAGGAATCCCTCATTAATACTTCATTAATAAGTTTCTAATTAAGGAATCGCTCATTAAGAAACCCCTCATTAATAAATCCGTCAGTTAATGAGTCCCTCATTAATAAATTCCTCATTAATAAGGCTCATTAATAAACCCCTCATTAACGGTTCCCTCATTAATAAATCCCTCATTAATGAGTCCCTCATTAATAAATCTTTCATCATTCCCTCATTAATAAGAAATTAATTAAACGTTCAATTAATGAGTCCCTCGTTAATAAATCTCTGATTAATAAGGGTCTAATTAATAAATCTCTCACTAATGAGTCTTTCATTAATCCCTCATTAATGAGTCCCTAATTAATAAATATCGCAGTTAATGAGATCTTCATTAATAAATTCCTAATTAATGAATCCCCATTAAGAAGTCTCTAATTTCTCTCATTAATAAACCCCTCATTAATCCCTCAATTAATGAGTACCTCATTAATAAATTGCTCATTAATAAATCATGAGTCCCTCATTAATAATTAATAGTTTAATTAATGAGTTTCTAATTAATTTCTCAATTAATAAGTGCCTCATTAATAAATCCCTCATTAACAGCTCTCTAATTAATAAATCTCTCACTAATGAGTCTTTCATAAATTCCTCATTAATAAGCCCCTAATTAATAAATAACTCAGTTAATGAGTCCCTCATTAATAAGTTTCTAATTAATAAATCAATTTTAATGAGTCCCGCATTAATGAATTCATTATTTGAATCTCCAATTAATAAGTATCTAATTAATAATCTCTAATTAATGAATACCTAATTAAGGAATCCCTCAATTAATGAATCCCTCATTAATAAGTGTCTAATAAATCCCTAATTGAGTCCATAGTTAATTAATCTCTCATTAATAAGTCTCTAATTAATAAATCCCTCATTAATAAATATCTAATTAATTAATCTTTCACTAAATCAATGAATCCCTCATTTATAAATAATTAGTTAATCTTTCAATGAACCATTAATGAATTTCTCCTTAATAAGTCTCTGATTAATCCCTGAATTAATGAATCTCATTAATGAGTCCCTAATTAATAAATTCCGCAGTTAATGAGCTCCTCATTAATAAATGCCAAATTAATGACTCCCTCATTAATAAATCTTTCATGAGTCCCTCATTAATAATTAATTAATTTTTCAACTAATGAGTCCTTCATTAATAATTCTCTAATTAATTTCTTAATCAGTCCCTCATTAATAAATCCCCCATTAATAAGTCCCTAATGAATAAATATCACAGTTAATGAGTCCCTCATTAATAAGTATATAATTAATTAAACTTTCAATAAATCAATGAATCCCTCATTAATAAGCCTCTAATTAAACCCCAAATTAATGAATCTCATTAATAAGTCCCTCATTAATGTCTTTGATTAATAAATTCCTTATTAATGAGCCCTCCATTAAGGAATCTCTCATTAATGAATCTCTAATTAATAAATTCTTCAGTTAATGAGTTCCTCATTAATAAATATTTCATTAATGAATGTGTAGTTAATGAATCCTCATTAATTAATTCTTCATTATTTGAATCCCTAATTAACATCTCTCTCATTAATAAGTCTCTAATTAATAAATCCCTGTATAATGAATTTCTCATTAATAAACCCCTCATTAATCAATCCCTCAATTAATGAGTCCCTCATTAATAAATCATGAGTCCCTCATTAATAAATAATTAATAGTTTAATTAATGAGTTTCTAATTAATTTCTCAATTAATAAGTGCCTCATTAATAAGTCCCTAATTAATAAATAACTCAGTTAATGAGTCCCTCATTAATAAATTCCTAATTAATGAGTCCCCATTAAGGAATCCCTTATTAATAAGTCTCTAATTAATAAATCTCTCGTTAATGAATCCCTCATTAATAAGTCCTTTAATTAACAATCCCTCATTAATAAGTCTCTAATTAATTCCTTATTAATGAATCCCGCATAAATTAATCCTTCATTAATGAGGCTCTCATTAATGAACCCCTCATTAATCCCTAATAAGGAATCACTAAT